GCAGACGGGCCGAGGGCACACCGGCGGGGGCGCAACCCGCCAGGCTCCAAGCGCCACCAGCCCGTGGATGACCCCGGCCGCGATCGCTGAGAGGGGACCGCGCGCGAGGCCCATGCGAGCGAACCCTTCAAGACTTGAGCAATAGTACAATGGGATGATAGAATAGAGAAGCCGATCTCGTTGGGCCCCTCAATCCCGTGCCCGTCTGCAGGCATACTTCGCACTAACAATGTGATTCAACAGGCATCGCTGCTCCCTCCAAGTCACTCTCTCCCTCTCTCTCTCTCTCTCTCTCTCCACCCCCCTGTGCGCTTCAGAAGAGGGGGACGACGACGAGGAGAAGGAGGAGGAGCTGGAGGAGGAGAAGATGGAGAAAGAGCAAAGAGAGACAGAGAGGGGGTCACAGAGGGACAGAGAGAGGGACAGACTGAGGGAGAGGTAGCGAGAGAGAAAGAAAGAGAGAGAGAGAGAGCACAAAAACAGAGAGAGAGAGAGGGAAACAGAGCGAGAGAGAGAGAGAAGGAGAGAGTCTTGAGGGAGCAACAATCCCTGTGGAATCGCAGGATTAGCGACGTCAGGGGTAGCCAAACCTTGTGTTGTAATTGGGTGGTTTGGGATTTCTGGGGCGAGGGCCAAGGAAGCCGTGTGTTTGCATTGGGATGTTTGGGATGTATGCGGTTCCAAAGGTTCTGAAGCGTCGGCGCTCCTGGATTTTGTCTGACCCCAAAAATCCCCCAAGCAGATCCAAATGAAAACACAAGGTTCCCTTAATTCTCATCCCAGCAATACTGAATATCCCAATGAAAATACAGGTTTTGGCGACCCCTGACGTCACAAACCATGTGATTACACAAGGATCGCTGCTCCATCAAGTCTCTCGCGCCGGCTCTCCCTCTGTGATTCTCTCGAACCCGCTCCAGAACAGGAGGACGAGGAGGAGGAGCTGGAAGAGACTGAAGAGGAGGAAAGAGTAGAAAAGGAGCCAGAGAGATAGGGGCCGCGTCTCCCTCAACTCCCGATGTCTCTCTGTCTGTCTCTCTCTCTCTCTCTCGCTCTCTCCCTCTTCCTCGCTCTCTCTCTCTCTCTCTCTCTCCCTCGCTCCCTCTCTCTAGCTCTCCCCCTCTCTCGCTCACTCTTTCTGTCGCCTTGCTTCATCGAAAGAAGAAATGGACGACGAAGAGAATGATAGAAGGAGAAACACCGCCGCAAAATGATACTGGTAGGAATGAGTGTTGGGGCCGGTGTGTATATGTGTGTATGCACGCAGATATACAATGATACATATGTGTAGACATATCTATATGCATGATGTATATGTATACAGCCATATCTAGATGTATAACCGGTCTCTCTCTCTCTCTCTTTCTCTCTCTCCCGGCGGCTACTTGCGTCATACAGCCTGGGAAGAGACTTGACTCTGCCTGGGCAGCAAACTTAGAAATGCGAGCTGGAAACTCGCCCCTTCGCCAGCATGCTACGACCAGGCTGGCCAAATGCATCAGGTGGGGACTAGACGAACTGATCCAATCAACCCGCCTCCAACTCTGCCTTCTCCCAATCCGTCTCCCATCCATCTCCACTTCCTCATCCTCCTCCTTCACCGCCTCCGCTTCTGTCTTCTCCGACCCCTTTCCTCCATGGATCCGTCCTCCTAGTCCTCTTCCTCTTCTTCCTCTTCATCTTCCACCTCATCCTCCTCTGCCTCCTCCTCCTCCTCCCGCTCCTCCCCTTCACCTCTCGTCTACCCTCACTCCTTCCTCATCCCGCCTCCCCTCCCTCCTCCTACACATGGTTCGCCTGCTCCCCCTCGCGTTCCAACTGCTCGCTCGTCCTCACTCATTATGCTACACCTGGTCGTTCTCTTCTTCTTAGTACTATTATTATTACCTTTTATAAATAGTATGAATATTGCCATTATTGTTATTGCGCGAATTGCCCTTCTCGGGTTGATGGATTGCTACATGCACAATAATGTATGGGTGAACCTTATTCTCGAGAACTACTGCGACCATGTCCAACGCCTTTGCATTCATATGGACTGCAAGTCGAGCGTGCTTCACGCATCAAAGACACGTTTGCGTCCAATCAAGCTCGACTGGTCAAGGATACCAAACAAAGCTTGCACAGCTCTCGTACGTATGTCGCTTGTCGTCTGCTGAAACACGCTCTTCTGGGCGAATGTATCGATTAGCCCGAGCTGCTCCGTCTGCTGCTGATAGGCTGGATGTGCCAATGCTTGTTGGCGTCTGTTGCTTTCGCCATCCTCGTAGTGACGAGATCAAGGCGCAGCGGGACCGAATGGAGGGAGGGAGGGGAGCAAGGAGGGGGATCGATAGGAGGGGGGCGAAGGGGAGGGATGGACGAGGGACGGGAGGCGGATGGTGCCCCAATGAAGCTGGTACTGCAGCCGCTCCTGTCCACAGAGGCTGGCAAACATTGGGTACATGAGCCTGTCTATGGCTGCATGTCGGGCACCATATCCTCAGACGGGAGCGCGTTTTATCCTGCAGTGTCATTCCATATGCGGGCGGGATGGGCGCTTGTCCAGGTAGACCCCAGTGCGCGCGTCAGTGCCACTGCTGATTGTTACCAGCAGGCTTCACAGGATGCGAGGTAATATGGCGTGTGTTTCATATTGATGACCTGCGCATCCCGGCCGGTGGGCGTTTATGTGGATCGCGTTTTCACGAACAAGTGTCTTCACGACCCAGTGTTCGAGTGTGCACTTGTGGCAGCAAGTGTGGGATGTCTTCGATGGTCCTAACATGCTGCGCGCGTTCAAGACAAAAGCCCTAACATGCTGCGCGCGCTCAAGACAAAAGCGCATTGCACGCAGACTGATATGGAGGCATGCCGCACGACGGCCTGGGAACGTCTTGCGAATGACTCGGCCGATTTGCATGCCAAGCAGAAGGCGAGATGTCACCCGTGCGCAACAGTTGCTGCCAGAGACTTGGCTGGGCTTCGGCTGCTCGTGATCAAGGCCTGCAAGTGGGTGGCGCAGCAAATAGTGCTGAAGGTGAATAGGGGCTGGCTGGACGCCGATCATTTTTCCCCATACAGTCGTCGTGCTATCAGAAGGAACACTGAATAAAGAACAAAAGGGCTTTTCTGGCCACACCGAGCCTTGGCCACGAAGAGGTTCCCCAGCCTGCATCCAAGGAACGGCCCTGAAAGCCAGAGCCCCTCCTCAGCCCAAAGTGGTCCTTATTTCAGCGCGTTGACCGTATACCCCTCCTAACACTCACCATCCTGCCAACGCGCTTGACCTGCGATCCTCGCCCGCATCGGCTGGGAAGGATCGGCATCTGTTGTCATCGGAGCATCCCCAGACAAATCCTGAGCTCAAGCTGCGCGTGCAGCTGCGGGGGCATGCGTGGCCGCCTGCACCTCGTGCGGAGCATACACTCATGAGCATCGATTGACCGATCCCTGTCCCCACTGGCATGGCCTTCGTGCCACTGGCCGATTTACCCCCCAGGATGGGGATATGCGCTGTTCCCTTCGGGCATCGCAAATCATATCCCAAACTGGGGGGGGAGGGATGATGGGGCTGAGATACTCTCCCCCAATCGGGATGGGGATCGGTTAGACGATACTGAACTCAGCGTGGGGTGCAGAACCTCATCAAGCCCTGCGCAGGCCTGACCGCTGGCTTCACGAGGCAACGCAGTCGAACGGCCGAGGCCGCACAGTGCGCGAAGTAGAGAATCGGCAGCCGTGTCGTTGCTGCAGTGCATGCCTTCGCATGCCTGGCGGCTAGCAAGGCACCGCCCCTCGCCGCCCAGGAGGCCCAAGAAGGTGGGCTCCCTGACGGGGGCGGGTGGGTGTTGGTTGAAGCCGGCCAGAACCCCTGGCCAAATGGGCTGCCACACACGGCGAGGGGAAGCTGAAGCTCGGCGGCGAGCGAGTCTCAGAAGGCGGCGGGGCTTCTCAGGCACTCAGGTAAGGCGCCACGCACTCCGCGATCGGGCGCCACTCGGGGAGGAGGAGGTGGGGGGGAGGAGAAGGAGGAGGAGGAGGACCAGTGTAAACCCAAGAGTCATCAAAGATGTTGGAATAAACCCTCCCTCGAAGCTCCCTCTTCATAGGCCCCTACAACTGTTCACTTCCATTGAGGGAACTGCCTCGTTGGAAGACAATCGTTTGAAGATCCTGAAGCTTGTTCTCGCAACTTCAACGCCACAAATCAAACGGACTGCTGCGTCTTGACGATCCGGAACCGTACCAAAACGCCATTTCGGGGACTTCAACACCGCGAATAAACAGAACTGCTGCACCCGCATGTCCTGAATCCGTCCAAAAAAACATTTCTGGTACGTTGATCATGGGAATCCGTGAAACTCTTGCAATTTGTATGAACGAATGTGCGCGGCGCCACGGCGAGAACCACATTTTGAAAACGACCCGCCCTCAATCCGTGAAACCCTTGCAAATTTCTAAAACGAATGTGCGCGGCGATAAGGCGAGAGCTACATTTTGAAAACGACCCGCCTCAATCCGTGAAACTCTTGCAACTTGTATGAACGAATGTGCGCGGCGCAACGGCGAGAACCACATTTTGAAAACGACCCGCCCTCAATCCGTGAAACCCTTCCAAAGTTTTCAAACGAATGCGCGCGGCGCTAAGGCGAGAACCACATTTTGAAAACGACCTGCCTCAATCCGTGAAACTCATCGATCTGTTGAAACGAATGTGCGAGGCGATAAAGCGAGAGCCACATTTTGAAAACGACCCGCCCTCAATCCGCGAAACTCTTGACACTTATCAAGCTTCGGAATCATGAATGGTGAGGACGTCTCAGGCGAAATGCCCGGTCCGCCCTACAAACTGGCCTCGGGGTGCGACAGGGAGAAATGAAGTACAAGGAATAGGAATGGAGGAGGAGGACGACGACGACGAGGAGGAGAAGGAGGAGGAGGTGGCCACAGCAGGGGGCGGATGGGGGAGGGCCCCCAGGTGAGGGGGGCTCTATCGCGGCACGGGGGCCGGTCCCCGCCTCGCCCTTCAGGATCTTCGTTCGCGCCTCAAGGAGGGGCTGTTGCCTCTCGGAGAACTCCTTGCGCAGCTCTCGCACCTGGAGCGGGACGAGGAGGAGAAGGAGGACGAGGAGCTGGAGGAGGAGGAGGAGGAGGAAGAGGAGGAGGGAGGAGGAGGAGGAGGAGGAGAAGGAGGAGGAGGAGAGGGAGGAGGAAGAGGAAGAAGAGGAGAAGGAGAAGGAGAGGAGGAGGAGAGGAGGAGGAGGAGGAGGGAGGAGGAGAGGAGGAGGAGGAGGAGGAGGAGTTTGGAGGAGGAGAAGGGGTATGGGGGGGAAGGAGGAGGTGGGGAGGGGGGGATCAGCGCCGAGAGGCGAGAGGGGGGAACCGAGCGGGAGGAGGAGGAGGAGGGTAAAAGCAGGAGGACGAGGAATGCAGACGAGGGGAAGAACGTAAGAGCGCAGCGGAGGTGGAGTGGAGGACGAGGAGGAGGGGGAGGAGGGAGAGGATGGGGAGGGGGAGGGGGAGGAGGAAAGTGCTGTCAAGAAGTCAGCCAAGGTACACGAGGAGGAGGAGGAGGAGGAGGAGAGAGAAGAGGAGGAGGAGGAGGAGGAGGAGTAGGAAGAGGAGGAAGGGGAGGACAAGGAGGAGGAAAATGCCACAGCTTTCTTGCTCAGGTTGGCCTAAAGTAGAAGGAGGAGGAGGGGGAGGAGGAGGAGGAGGAGGACGAGGACGAGGAGGAGAGGGAGGAGGGAGGAGGGGGAGAGGGAGGGGGAGGGCGAGGAGAAGTGCTGTCAAGAAGGCGGTCGAGGTAGGCACACGACAAGACTGCCAAGGAGGAGGAGGAGGAGGAGGAGAAGGAGGAGGAGGAGGGTTCTTCCCTCTGCAAAGAGGAGGCAGGACCGAGGATGCCGCGCTCAGCCGCGCAGCCTTCCTGAAACAAGCATTGAGTCCGACGAGGGGGGGAGAAGGAGAGTAGGGGGAGGGGGGGGGAGGGGAGGGGGAGGAGGACGAGGAGGAGGACGAGGAGGAGAAGAAGGAGGACTGGGGGAGGAGGGGGAGGGGGAGGTGGGCGGGGTTGGTGGTACACCAAGGTCAGGGTAGTCGAGCTCGACCACCTGGCAGGCGCCTACTTTTTTTTCTCTTCCTCGCAGCACGTGTTCCATGTATACTGCTGCGGCGCCTGCCAGGTACCCTGCCTGTGCCTCTACGTCAAGTCGGTCTGGACCTGCGCACTTTTTACTCATGCACGCAACAGCTACATGGCTCATGTTGCGCTTACGGTAAAAAGGAGGAGGAGGAGGAATAGGAGGAGAAGTGTTGTCAAAAAGGCGGCCGAGGTAAGCACACGCCAAGGCTGCCAAGGTGGTAGGCCTGATTTACTTTGTTGGCCCTGCTGCTGGACTCCAACTCCATGCGCCTAAAATATGTTTGATTGCTTCCCTGGTGGGCCCTGGGTCAAAAACGGCGCTTAGGGAGCCAGCCATTGAAGGAGGAGGTGGCACGGTCGTCTATGAGGCTTATGGGTTCCAGGTCCAGGTTGTTCTGGACCATGATGACTGACAACGGAGTTGTGGGCACAGAGGTTCAGCATAGAATTGGAATGATCAGAAGAAAATTAAGACTCATACATATTTGCACATGGAAGCACCAGCGTCCAGCTATCACACACATGCCTTTACATTGTTGACAATGTTGTGGTTTAACGCTGCCATCTGGGAACCAACCTGGATCGACACCGACGACGAGGCTGCGGCCTTCTTCTCGAATTCGCGCTCGATCTCGAGGTACTGGTCGTCCAGGGCCTTCATCTCCTGACGGCGCCCAGACAGTCTCCCCAACTCATTGGCGCAAGTCCCGGCTGTTTCTGGCAAAGAGTTCCTCCCATTTGGTCGGGGGCGTCCACAAGGTGAGCGTCTGAGAAGAGGGGTCGCAAATCATCGCACGAAACACGTGCGCGGCCAGGGGGGAGCCAAAGGACGCATTAAGATAAGAAGAAACACCATGACACTTAGGGGGGCATCATGGTCTCGGCCATGTGATCCACCCTCCCCTAATCATCACACCCCTCGTGGCCGCCCCCGGTCTGGTTGCTGCTGCTGTAGCTGCTGCTGCTGTTGTTGTGCCTGCTGTTGTTGTTGTGTCAGTTGCTGTTGTTGTTGCCGCTGCTGCTTTCTGAATGGAGCTCTCGCGTGAAACTTCGTAGAAACTCACGGACACAAAACATCAGCACACGTAGCGCTGCACGGGCCCATGGCTTCAACATGAATCTGTCGCTTCAGAATTGTTCGAAATTCACGAGCACAAAGGAAAAATGTGAAACATGTACACAGATGCGAAGGCCGCCTGCTTCGGATGAAAAACATCGCTGGACACCCCGTCGAAGTTAATGATCACTGTGGCTTCTCGCGTTCTTGGCAAGGCGCCAAAAAAACGTGAGGAAGTTTATTTTCAAAGTGGGGCCCTCGCCAAAACGGCAAACTCAACTACTTCGGTCGTTCGACTGATCGCGACTTGCAGTTCCCCAAACGATGTTTGCAGTGCGGGGGGTGACTTGCTCTACCAAAAAAATTGGGTGGGTACCCCAAGCATTTTTTTTGGTGGCCGCCCTGCGTGGCCGCCCGTGGCCGCCGGTGCCCCGCGGTCGCCCCGTGGCAGACCGCGGCCGTCCGACGCAGGTTGCATCACCGATCCGCCACCGCGCCCCCTGGTACGTTGAGGCGCGGAGGAATGCCAAGGTCTGCCTGGTAAGTTGTAATATGCTAATGTCTGCCCTCCTTTTATTCGCGGACTGTGGCGTGCGTCTCCCCTACTCGACGAGACCACTTCCCTCGTGCCCGCTCCCGGATGGCGCACTTCCAGCATGGCAGCGAAAGTTTGAAGCGAGAGAGCCATGCCATTGCAGTAGTAGAGGCATGGCGGACATGAAGGAAATATGTTGACAGGATGTGAAAAGAGCCCGCGTCACTCCTGTCGCCGCAGATCAAGTACAGGCGGCGTTGCTTAAACTGACAGATCGGGCGACGTTGCCTTTCAGCCGGGACGGCAGCATAATAGGCAAGCATGGTACGTCCCCCCCGTGGGACATTCCCTCAACATCGATGGGGGCGAAGCCTGGTCGCTGCCGCCCCCATAGCTGGATCAAGGCGGTCGATAAACTGTTAGGTAATCGACTGGCTCGGCAACCTCAATTGCAAGGAAGCAAGTTCAAGTAATAAAAATAACGGCGCGAAGCGGTGGCCCCTGTTTCCATAATCCACCCAGCCCATCGATTAAGTGCGACAGGGCGGAGGCAAGCTGAGACAGTACAGCCCATGCTGGGCCAGCCGACTGGCAGCCCAGAGAACAAGGGAAAACGCCATGGGGGCTGACCCCGACTCGGACAGAACGATCGTTCGCGTCGCGTGCCCGCTCCACTGAAGCCAAGCGAAGACTACGATTGACAACAGAAGGCTGGCTGAAGGGGCGGGGGCGCGCGCTCACTTCCAAGCAGTCCTGATTCCACGCAGAAGAGATGTAAGAGGAGCGCGGGCACGCGCTCTCTCTGAGCAGCCGCGGCCCCAAGAATGCTCTGAGTGGGGCCAGGCAGAGGGCGCCCCCTCTTATAAAACTGGCGGCCGCGGCTAAGCAATCCCTCGGACCGCAACGGTCCATCAAGGCGTCAGATCGGTCGGCAATAGGAATAGCACCACGATATGGCGCATGTGCCATAGTTTCGCGTGTAACTCTGGAACCCATCCATGACCTGTAGGAAGAAGTCACGGCAGATAGAACCCTTGGCGCGCCCGTCCGGCGTCATACCCCGGGCGCCACACAACCGCGCAGAACCCGCTGATATGGCTCAGCAATGTCTTGTCTGTAAGTGTCTCCAGATCCCTGCTGGAGAGAGACTTGCAAACGGATCCGGCATCACTCGCGAGGGATACCTCGGTGCAGAACCCGCCTCGTTCACGACGATGCTTAAAACCAGATGCGGTCAATCGGCCCTTCATGAGCTCGCGCAACGCCACTGAAGCAGGAAAGCATTCACCCATGCTGCGCGCAGCAGCATGCGGTTTCAGACTCAGCTCCAATAATGCATGGGAGACACACTTCTTCCTGCCATGATTTAGTATGGCGTTGTGCCGTTAATATTTGGCTCGACACAACAAGGAGGAGGGCCGGCCGGCCGGCGGGCGCGCGCAGCGGGCCGGCCGAACCATTTTTCGGCGATCGAAGCCCAAACAGTTTCGATAAGCCATCGATGTCTGGCTGCAGCGGGACAGCGATGCTAATGCCATGCAACGCTCTGACTAAATCAACTCCCCCCGCGGCCTCCCCGGCGATCGCCACTCGCACGGGTTAACGTTAACGATGCGTCAACGCCCCAGATTTGTTTCTAAACCGGCCCGTCGCGCCGCGCCCAGCAGGCACCTCACCCGTTTCATGGCTCGCGGCGCTCTGAGACGCTCAATGAGTAGCACGGTTGCGTCGAGGAGACACCCGAAGCATGGCTGCGAGCGCGTTCTCTCCCACTCAACCCCAACTGTGATCGTCGCGGCTCCAGTTGCTGAAGCCTTGCCACTGGCCTGAGCTCCAGATCCAAAACGACCACCAGTTGTCGGCGTTCTCTCGCCACATCGGGAAATCTCTCGCGGCCGGCGGCCTCGGCGCCTTGGCGGAGCTCGAGGAGGCGTCTTCCGAGCGTGAATACGAGTGCCACTGGGTCGGGCGGTCAGCTCGGCGACGTCTTCATTCCTGTCGATCATCTGGCGCAAGACTGCTTTGCCTATTAGCTCTCCTGCCGTCGCTCTCGGCCCCCCAGCCCTTGCCCTCGCCCTTGCCCTCGGCGTCGTCTGATGCTCTTGCTGCTGCGGGGCGGCCCTCAGGCCTCATAGAGTTAGGCCTCTTTTCTCCCTTGGCAGACTGCGCCCTAGAGGAGGCGCCCACCGCGGCAGAGGCAGGTGGTGCCGGAGCACCTGCTTCACGCGCCGTCGGCCGTGGAGCTCCCAGAAATTCCAGCGGCGGCCAATAGTTCTCAATTTCCCTTGCCACGACAGCTTCAAATTGACTGAGCGGCTGGACTTCAGCGCTCCCCGGGGACCCCCTGCACCACGCAGACCAGCCCATGCTGCGTTCTTCGCGACGGCGGCCCCCCAGGGAGCGCAGCCCCAGTCGAGCGGCCAAAGAACGGCGCGGCCGACCGCTTCCACAATCCCCCCGCCGATCTACGGCCGCTAATTCCTCGAAGGAACAACAGTGTTACTGCCAGTAGCGGGCGCCTTGCGATGCACGTTCTGGAAATTCATCCACCTGCGACCCAGCTTCTTGGCCTTCTCCTACTCGCAGGGGCCCCTCTGCTCCGGCAGCTCGTCAGATGGGGGCAGTGGTTGGCAGGCAAATACCGCCGCGATGTTGCCGCGCAGCTTTGCCCTACAAACCATGTCTCCGCGCGCGCCGATGCCATCTTCACCGTTGTCTTTCCACCTGTTCTACGGACGTACCTGCACCAGGTCTGCATCATAGCCCCCCCATATCCCCCCTGTACTCGGCGACGCAGGGCTGGAGGCATCAACCCCTTGACCCCCCCGCTTGGCCAGACCGATATCTCGGAGATCGATATCAGGCCAATTCGCGCCAAAATCAGCGACAAAGGCGCCGCGTTGAACTGGCGCCCGTCATGCGAGGCAACTCAATGCACCCAACCGAGTGCGGCTATCGCCGCTGCACAGGATGTAGCCATCATCCCAGCACTGCTGCGCGCAGAGTGCGTTCTTCGCAGTAGAAGCGAGCGCATCATCATCAACGCCAGGCACCCGAACGATGACCTCATTCTGTTTGAGCCAGTCTATACATGCCGCGTCGAAATCAGGGACGACTTCGAGCGCAGTGTACCTTCGGCCATGCACCAGGGCCCACGATATCAGGGACCGCTGCATCCCAGACACGGTAAGACGCAGCATCTGACGAATGTCGCTCCACGTCGGCATGAACGCAGTCGCCGAGGAGCCGTCGCGTTGAATCCAGATGTCCTCAGCCCCCAGTTCTAGGCCACGTCGGCAGCTGCCCGTGCATTTCACTGCGATGACCCCCCCGTGCTCTCCGTGCCAACTGAACTGCCCCACCCGAAAACGGCTCTTGTTCTCTGACACTTACACCTTCAAGGGTAGGGCACAGACCAAGCCTAGTCGGCAGGCAAGTCAGCAACCGGCACTGGCGCACGCCCTGGAGGCCCCCTTGCGGTGCCACAGCGCGCCCGGTCATTGACCTTCGCACCGATGTATCGTCCAGCGGAGTGACGATTGCCTGAGGGGAGTGCCTCGCTGCCGCGCAACACGTGATGCACATGCGTTCGGGGTCAACAACTCGGACAGGGTGACACCTGCAAGCGCGGAACAGCAGGGGCACTCTCGTCATGGGCTTCAAAATTGACAGGCACCCAGCAACATAGTCGTCGGTAGGTGGCTTGCGCCCGATGCTTTCGTCCCAATATTATGGCTCAGCCGCGGGGCCATCTCCGGCGTTCGCTATGTTCACGCCAAATATCTGAGAAGCATGGCGTGGCATTAAGCAAGAGCATGCACACGGCGTGCCCGCGCCCTGTCGTGGCCCTCCTCGCCCAGCATGTCGATGATGTCGGCTGCCTCAACCCATCCCCCTGAACTGCGAACGCAGGCTGCGCCGCGCGCTTCCGAATACCGCGCAAGCGCGCGCAGGTCACCAGCACTGTCCCTGGAGATGGAATGCATCTCGGGCTGCGGGAGACAGCGGGGCTCGACCGCTTTGTGGCGGGCGCGCAGAAAGCGATGCGAGTTCGCCTCGTCCTCCGGGGGCAGGCGGCGCAAAAACTCCAATAGCGCATCACCCACCAGGTCACGGGGCCACCCCAGCGCTCTTTCCTGGAAACCGCCGCCCCGCTTTGCTCCGTCTGCCGAACGACTCGGGGCCAAAGTCACGATGCTCTTCCAATGTTTGGGCCGGCTCGATGTTAGCGGCCAGCAACCCCGCAGAGTCGTCTTCATCATTGAGCGCGGAGCCGAACTCGTCCTTCTCTGCGTGCTCTAGCCCGCGGTGGGCCGTGCCCCCCCCCTTATTCTCTCCTCGAACTCGCGCATCGAGGCACGTTCCTTCTCGGGCGGCGTCGGGGCCCCTCCGAGGCAGAAATATTTCGGCATGAATCATCAGGAAGCTTGTCGGAGATAACGTCAAAGGGGAATCAGCCTGGGCTTCTGCGCAGGGCTCTCCTCCGCTCGGTGCCCCTCACCACCGCCCCGATCGTCTCTGGCGCCATCCGCCTTCTCGCCGCCCTCGCCCTCCGAGGCCGCGGGCGACATCTGAACTCGATCTCCGGCACAAGGAGGCGGCGGACCAGGCGGAGACTGCTCCTCGTCTGACGCTTCCAGGCCCACTAAGCTCGGTGCCTTGCGGACGATCGACTGCCCAGACGTCGGGGGTCGTGCCCGCAAGAGGTTCCTGGGCCTGCGCAGTTGGCGCACAGTCAAAAGGAAATAGGACAGGAGGGGAACCCGCTGCATATACGCGGGCCCCCTCCAGCGTGCTCGCGGCAGACGGCTGGTCTTTATCGTCCCGAGTCAGGTCCGAGTCCGTGGAAGATACTGACGGGCTGTCAGCGCCCCCGCCCGGCTCTGCCGCTCCTTCCAAAATCTCACATCGGCACCGCGGCTCGAAGAGTATCTTTTCGTGCTCCAGGACGTTGGCGGGAGCGTTGCGTCGATGGGCGTGGGCCTAGTGGCAGTGCGCACGAAGATGCGGCGTGCATAATGCAATGTGCAATGCCTGTGCGGGACTGCTGGCAGTTCTCGCAAAATCCCACCGGTTTCAACATTGACCCTGCGTTCACCTCCGTGTACGTCGCGCAGTGGTATCCGAGTTGGAGACACAGGTATACTTGCTCCATTCGAGCAACAGACTTTATCGGCCTCTACGACACGCTCTCTCGTCAATGGTTCTGTCTCATACATCGACGGTGGCTGCTGAAATGGCGCCCCATCTCGCGGATCGCGCGGCCGCGAATCTGGGGGGGGGGGGGGGGGGCGGGCACAGCTCCTCGGAAAGGGGAAGCGACACCTCGCATCTGCGTAGCACCCTCTCTTGAAGCCTGCCGTTCCCAAGCGCCCCCAGCTCGACCGCCGGCGAGCTGCCCCTTGCAGGCGGGGCGCGCGGAATGCCGCGGTCTCAGCGCGAATGACCTCCGTGTCGTTCCGCATGATTTCTGCGAGAACTTCCAGGAACTCTTCGCCCGTCGTCTTTGTCTCGGGCTGAGGCGGACACTCGTCGTCGGAGGCGCCCTCGGCACCGTCGTTGGACGCCTCTGTCCTTGGCCCCATGCCCTCGTCATCTCCTCCAGAAGGCCGCGGGCTCTGAGCTCGATGCCTCTTGGGGCCGTCCAGCGAGCAATGAATCCATTAATCATCAGCGCCCACCTTTGCCAGAGTGAGAACGGCCAAGTCGATCCGCAATCTCGCGCAGTAGGCGAGGAGCTTCTTGGACGGGGACGACAAAGTACAATTCGTAAAACAAGCCCGTCTCCAAGCTCCTTTGTCGCGAGCAAAATCACGAGGATGCTCGACGAGCAACCACCGACGGTCGCGGATATCTTAAATATGTTCCTTCTTCCGGGCACTGCAGAGGCGTCGTCGCCCCTCGCGATACGCCCGGCGGCTGTCATGCTGCGCGGGGTCATAGACACCTTCCTCCATCGCCGAGTCCTTGATCTTCCAGAGAGGCACCTTGACCGTCACGCGCAACGCGCGCCCCGTCTCCTCCATGGGGCAAGGAGAGTCTGGATCCACTATGGCTGCAAAGTCGAGCTCGAAGGTCACCGGCAGAAGCCTTGGGGCGGCGCAACCACAACCCCTTGGCGCGCGTCTGCGGCGGCGCGGCGAAGTAGAATCGGAGGGCAGTTCTCACCAAATTATGAGGGCGAGGGCAGCAAGATTGCTTGTTCTTCTCTGCGTCGACTGCCTCGAAGCCCCCCAGTTCCGACGGCGGGGCCAAAATCTGGAAGTCGCGCGCAACAGCCAGTCCGTCACCAAACAGCAGCGCAGCGTTGGAGTCGGAGGCGCGCTGCCACGGCACTCTGGAAGAGTCCTCGCAGGCGCGCGCCCTCGGCCGGCGCATCGCGGACCCTGTAGTTCTTCGCCCGCCCGCCGTCACTCACCTTGGACGCGACGAACGCGCCGGTGTTATTAAGCACGGCGCAGAGCCCGTTGATGTCGAGGGCGCGCGAACAGAACTTCCAGCCCGAGCCCCTCTTCAAGCGCACATAGTCCGCTGGCAAGTCGAGCGGAAGGGTGGGCACGGCATGTCCCAACTAAACATTGACCATCATTTTTGCCAGATCGAAAATGTCGCATCGCGCCCCTGCTACCCTGCCAGCTCTACATAGACGACGGGCGAAGAGCCATTCGACGACGCAGCGACCGAGGTAACTCTCGGCGGGCTTTGGAAAATGTGCCCGGCGAATAGCCGCCGCGAGCCAAGCCTTGGAATCGGCGTGCATGCCACTGTTCCTGTGCGAGAGGTCGCCCGGCATTAGCTCCCTGTCCAACGGCTTCGGGATTGACAGAATGTGAGACAGCAACAGCCTGTTCTCGACGGAGCTGCCATGACTCACTGCCCTGCCCATCAGCTCACGCACAGTCTTCGGCCAATCAGCGGCTGCGACTGGCCCGATTATAGTCGGTCTCCAGCGGGCTTGACTGGCCATGAAAGCGCGTAGACATACGACGATTATGTCCTCGATGTCGCACATCGGGCTGAAATCCGGGGCCCCGTCGACGACGCTGCGCTCGGCGGGCGAGAGCAAGTCCTGCATCTTCTTCCAGTGAACGACCAGGCCCTTATGTCACGTCCTGGGGGCGCCGCTGGCATAGCCGGCAGTCGCCTCGTTCTCGCGGCCTCCTCTGGCGTCGATAATGGTTATCTCGCCCCTTCCCGCAACGCTTCGAGATATTGAGTCATCCTGGCGTCTGGCCTTGGCGCGGCGCGCCCGACGTTGGGGCCAGGAACCGCCGCCAGGAAATAGAGGAATGGTCGCACGGCAAGGTGCGCACCGGCACGTCCCCCCACGGACTTTTTGCAACGCCGCCCTTTTCTTTGACCCAGCCCGCGAACCTCTGCGAATCCACGTCGACGCATGAGAGCGTGGACAGCGCAGGGGCGCCCTGGAGGCTGAGCGGCAGAGGGGTGCCGAATTCGTTGCCAACTAGTGCCTGAACTCCACCCGCCTTGCAGGACGCACGCTTTAAGACACGCTCAAGCCGGGGCGGGCTCACGGACAAGAGCCCGGCTGCCTGGTCAGCGCAAGCGCAGACATAGCCCCCTCTCGCATTTCCCCCTGGAATGGAACGCGTTTCTTTATGTTCGGCGATGACGGGCGCCATGGGGGGGGGGGGGGCGGGGGGGGGGGGGCATGACGCGACGCCCCCCCCGCCGCGCGGCTCCGACACCGCGGCCGCGCCCGCGCGCCCGCCGCGCCCGGAGCGCACCGGGGGGGGGGAGCGTTACGTCATAGGAGGGGGGGGGGGAGCGGGGGCCACGACGCCGGCCATGCCCCAAGCAAGAAAGAAATGGCCTCATGGCACTCACCTCTATGCAGACCTTGCAGGCGGCGGCGACGCAGACATTCGCCCTTCTCGCGCAGCTCTGATCCGCGCACCCGCAGCACCCGACGCGAAATACCAGCCTCTTCCCAGCACATCATGCGGTCGTTTGCAACTGCGGCGGCCCGGCTTGCGGGCGTGTTCCAGGCGACAGATTCTCCGCCAATTTCCGCAAGACTGGGCATCGCCCAGCCCATAGACCACCATGCAGGTGTCATCCATTTTGTGCGCACCCGGCATGCATGTCGACCAGCTGCTTCACCTGCTCGAGCACCTCGGACTCCAGGTCGAAGTGCCGCTGCATGTCAGCTCCGGTGCTCTGCCATGCATGCGTCTGTCATTCCTATCGGCACCAAGGTCATTTCCACCGCGCAAGATGACACGGCATCGGACATTGTTCTGACTCTCGAACTGGAAATGTTGCCTCAAGTGCGACTCTGGACCTTGTCAGTCCGGCAGCGGAATGTCTGGCAAGGTGATGCCGCCTTGGCAGTATGCATCGCATCCTGCAATCTGGTGTCACTGCCCATGCGCACGAGGGTCTTCACTGCGTCCGGTTGTTTGACGCCAGCTGATTCATGGAGCACCGCTGTGGAATCTGACAGCGACGTGACGTCTACGTCAGGGCACGTGCACTTGGTCTTCCACTAGCGCTCCCTGGCCGCACAATACCAGTCGTCGATGGGCACATACCCCCTCGAAAATGCAAAGACGTTCAGGCCAACGAACCTGGCATGGATGCCGCTCATCTCGACGAGTCGCGAGTAGGCGGCGCACGCCTGGGCGAACGCCCAAATGCGGACGTGAGGGGCTACCGACTCGTTGGCCAGCTCTGCCATCCTGATCGTCAATCCCTGAGCAAGCTTGACGCAGTCCTCGGACGGTTCAAAGCCCGACGTCAGCACGCGCCTCGAGAATGAGTCGGCTGCCCCTCCCCTCGCTTGTATATGAGCCCTCAGCTGCGCTGCCTCCCAGACGCCAGTCACGCCGGCATATGGTCGGATTATGGTCCTTCGGTCGTCGGCAACGGGCGGCGCAGGCAGCGCCTCGGCCCCATTGGCATGGCCAGCGGGAGCCTGGTCGGCCCCTTGAGGGTCTCGATTCCCCCTTGTCTCTCTGGCGCTCGATGACGCGCCACCTGCATTTGATCCTCCGAGCCCTTCATCTACAGATGCTTTGGCGCTGGCGGCCGCTTTGGGCAGCGGACGCTTCGGCGGAGGGCCAGCAGGAGAGGCCTGAGTCTGCGATGGCGGCGCATGCCTGGGCGGAGGAGGCGCCGCTGCTGGCGGCGGCCCAGCCGGCGGCGGCGGGGACATTACCATCGGAGGTGGCCCAGCCGGTGGCGGCAAGGGCGCTCCCGTTGGCGGCGGCCCGGCCAGCGGCGGCGGAGACTTTGTCGTCGGCGGCGGCGCTGCCCGCGGCGGAGGCGCTGCCGCCGGCGGCGGCGCCGCCGGGGACGGCGGAGCCTCGGCTGCTGGTGGCGTTCCTGCCGTGGGCGGCGGACCTGCGGGCGCCGGCGGCTGTCCTGCCGGGGGCGGCAGATCCGCGGGCGCCGGTAGCTGCCCCGCCGGGGGCGGCGGAGCCGCGGGCGGCTTGGGCGGCCCAGCCAGAGGCGGAGGCGGAGCCTACGCCTCGACGGCTTCCCCGACATAGTCGGTGGTGGACCCTTCGGCAGAGGAGGTTGCGGCGACACGGGCGGCTCTGGGGACGCTCCTGTCGCACTCTGGCATGCCGTCGTGCTGCCGCGGGACACGTTTGACAGCTCGTTCGCCGTCGCGTTGTCGCGGGACGCAGTGAACGGCTCGTTCGCGTTCACGTTCGTTGTGCCCGAGGTCCTTGGGGCAGCCTTGCGCGGAGGATACCCTGGCGGCGGAGGCGGCGGCCTCCTCTCCGCTCCCCTCGGCGACGTTGCCGGAGGC